GGACTGGTTTGACTCAGGGCACACTCCAGAGGAAGAAGAAGAGGGGGAAAGTTGGAAAGTAATGGGAGGTGAAGAGCTGGGTAGTATTGAGAACGCAGGGCCCAAGCAGTGGCTGACGGACACGCTGTCTCTGGAGAGCCTCCCAGAACCCATCCCCGCCCCTAAAACCAGGAGCTCACTGAGAATAGCAGAGCAGAGGGCTTAAAGGCAGCGGACCCTTAGCAGCAACTGTAGAAGAGGGGAGGAGTCTGATGAACAGGGGAGTACGGAGAAGGGGGGGCATAGAGCTTCACTTGGAGCAACATTAGATACTGAAAAGTCTTGGTTGTCTTGCCTTGGCATCTGGAATAATAATAAAAAGGATTAAAAAGCCTGTGTTTTCTCTGTCTCTCTGCTTTCCTGGTCAATCAGCCAGGAGCCATCGACAGCAGCCTGACAATGGTGTTCATTGGAAGTTGCTTTATACAGAGTCAGACCATTGGCCATCTAGCTGAGCATTGTCTATGCAGACTGACAGCAGCTCTCCAGGCATGGGAGCCAACTCCTACAGGCCAAGGTCCCTTTGGCCCCCCAATAAAATATTTGAGGGGTCTGCCCCCCAGTTGATGGACATTGCCATTCAAATGATGTGTGTGAGCCGCGTCTTGTGATGCAGGGTGGAGCATACCTGGACCCCCCAATATTTTCTCCAGGGTTTGAACCCAGAGCTGTAGCTAGGTGATCTTGCGCTGCTGGCAGAACCATCCAGATTGCGGCCCCTAGCCACAGACAAACTAGCTCTTCTTTCCGCCTCTCCTCCAATCCCCCCCCTTCCACCCATTCAACTCACCCTCTATTTAAAACCATTTCTTATGAGACAATAATCAATATTTATATTTATGGACATACTTTTAGCCGATTTTGCGGGGGGGCCCCATCGCCTGCGCTCCTGGTGGGGGCCTGCCTTGCCACCCCCTAGCTATGGCCCTGTTTGAACCTGGGACCTTCTGCATACAAAATGGAAGCTCTGCCCCTGAGCTCTTCCCTGCTTGTTCAATGGCTACAACTGAACCAGCTTGCACATTGGATATAATTGCTAGGTCCTCTCTATTTATCAGTGTTAGCTGCAAAACCTCAAATCTAGTATCCCATTTGCCAGAGTTTGGGGCTGATTTGTGGTCTATATGCCTTTTATAGTGATGTATACTGTGTAATCATTTAAAGCTTTGCTAGCTGTGTGTGGTGTTAGTCACATTTCTCTGAATTGTGGCCAGAAAAATCTTTATATGTTTTTATTCTAAATCAAGGTTTCCCCCCCTTGAAATTTACTATTATGTTCTATCTGCAACTTTGAATGTATGAGAATGAGCCGTAATTGCAACACACGGCCACATTTTCCTCCAGTAAGAATAATTTGGAAGGAAAGGCATTTCTCTGGGCTTATCTCATGAAAACACGCCTACATTTCCACATGAAACAAAATAACAGTGGTCTTTCTTGTTCAGCTGACTCTTGCCAAATAATTAGATTACCGCTATCTCATTAGCATTGAAATGGCATCACCAAAGCACACAAAATGAATGTTTCTGTTCTTTTCACAGAGGGAATTTGGTGCATATTTGCCATCATTGTTCAACCATTTGTTGCTGCTGTTCTGCATTGATTCACATGCCTGATTTCAGGGGCAAGGAAACAGTGTCCATCTAGTAGATGCTATTGGACTACATCTGGCCACCCGTCACCATTGGGCATGCCAGCTGTGGATGATGTGAGTTGAGGTCCAGCAGCATCTTCAAGGGCATAGGTTCCCCACCCCTGCCTTATTTGCTAAAACTGATCAGAGCCCAATGGCATGTACAGGAAGTCCTGCGACAGAAGATCAGCTGCACAGTTTTGGCATTGCCAGTCTTGACATGACTGGGATCATTCCACACCTTTTCTCATTCTTCACTGTTTCACATGGTTGATGGAAGGAGAGGGTGGCCAATGCAGTCATCATGCCTTGCTTTCCAAGGTTTCCCTATGTTTTCCATAGATGCTTTTTCTGGTGCAATTTCTACCTGGATATACTTCCAGTGGCAGGTTTATATACTTCATGCATTGATTCTGGCCACATTTCAGAACAGTCATTTATGTGTAAGTCCAATTGAAATCAATGGGACTGGAGAGAGGGAGAGGGAGGGAGAGAGAGAGCTGGCTTCTTGTCTTTGTGGAAAAACATTCCCATAAACTTTCCTTTCCTAGCTATCCAATTATAATATTTTGTTACTGGGAAATTTGAGCTGTGCATGCCCAGTTTGTGGTATGGAATGCTAAGTGCACTGTCCTTTTATGTCATAGACAGGCACCCATGGTTAATTCCTGTAACACTGATGTACCCAACACAGTGACCTTTGCTTCTGGCTGGGAGAGGGGTGGTCTGAAAATTGGGAGTAGTGGTGATCACTGCATTGCCATGGTCAGAGTCCCAATGGCAAAGTTTGCTCTTATGTGCCAGTCCCCTCCTCTGCAGGGTTAGAGATCCCATTAAAATGGCCAACCCTAGGCACTTATGGACTCTGAGGGATGTTCTGCTGCTAGAGCTGGCGATTCTCCTGAGGCCCTAGTTGAGCTATGGAATGGGGAGAAAAGAAAGGTCATAGACGCAATTGCTCCTGATCGTCCTCTCTGATGAGTCTGGAAGGCTCCCTGGTTTGGTGGTGAACTTCAGGCAATGCTGTTGCACTCAGGTCCTGCTTGTGGGCTTCTCGTAGGTACCTGGTTGGCTACTGTAAGAACAGGATGCTGGACTAGTTGGGCACTTGGCCAGATCCAGCAGGATTTTCCTCATGTTCCTGTATGTACTGAAGAGTGTTGTACTGCAAAAGTATGTGAGTTATTCTGTGTCATTAAGTGAAACTTGTTGATTAGTTCCCCATTGCCCTATCACTCAGAAAACCTACTGAAGGAATGTTCCATCAAGGAATAACTAGATAACATTGGTGTCTTTTTTATAGACAATAAATGGATATGCACATTAGCACCAAGCTGTCGCAACATTCTGTGCTGAAATAGACTGAACCATGATGCAAGGACTGCAATTTAGTACTTATGCAGTTGCAGGCAGCTTAGTCATAATGTATGATGCACCAATACACACACGTTTCAGATAGAGCAGTATATCACAAAATGATTAGGCTTTGGGTGATAAACTGCATCATTTGTTCTCTTTGCAAAATGGAAGAGTGAAGTCCTTTCTGTGGAATTAGAAACGTTGTGTCTTGAGTTATTTGTCAGGGATTGGTGAAGGAAAGTTGGGATTCATTGAATCATGGGAGATAATAGGTATTGTCTTCCATGGAGAAATAACTAAATACTTGGTCAGAGTGAAGGAGCTTTGTTAAGCATAAAGGTCAACACGTGAACTTTAATTTGAGTCAGGGTTTAGCCTTGAAACTTGTTACCACTTATTTAACCCCAGTCAAGCTAGCAAAAATCTATCATTTGCCCGATAATAAATGTTGGAAATGTAAAGAAAATGAAGGTACCTTTTTCCACCTTTGGTGGACGTGCCCAAAGATCAAGGCCTTCTGGGAAATGATATATAATGAATTAAAAAGGTATTGAAATACACTTTTGTGAAGAAACCAGAGGCCTTCCTCTTGGGCATGGTCGGCCAATTGGTGCGAAGGGAAGACAGAAATTTTTTATGTATGCGACAGCAGCAGCAAGAATACTCATTGGGAAATATTGGAAGACACAAGAATTGCCTACCCGAGAAGAATGGCAGATGAAAGTGATGGACTATATGGAACTGGCTGAGATGACCGGCAGAATTCGAGACCAGGAAGAAGGGTTGATGGAAGAAGACTGGAAAAAATTTAAAATATATCTTCAGAAATACTGTAATATAAAAGAATGTTAGAAAAAGGTTGGAAAAGAATATTAGGCCGTATTGGCAGATATGGTATAATGGAATAAGTAAAAATGAAGTGTAAAATGAGGATAGAGGAGGATTAAATATTTCGAATGTTAAAATAAGTAAAAGAAAAGAAGGTTAGAAGGATTTGCTGGAGATACGATCTAAACTAGAATACAAAGCAGGGAGGCGAGAGGAAGTCATGGAAATAAGTAAAAGGGAAAAAGGTCGTAAAGGCCTAATTTGATTTTTGTTATTCTTTATTGTGAGGCATGTTTATTCTTTGTTGAGTTTTTTTTTCTTTTTTACTGTCTGTTTTTTGTAACATGTGTATGGTTTGTTTTTTTCTTCTTTTTTTGGTAACTTTAAAACTGGAATAAATATTCTTCAAACCCTGGGGGAAAAAAAAAAAGAAACTTGTTACCACTGTTGGGATTTAACACTGAAAAAAAATGTGGAAAAGTACTATCGTGCCTCTGAGCACATGCAGAGAACTACAGACTCAGGATGAGAGTCAACTAAGTTGTTGTTGTGTGTGTAATTTGGTTCACTTATGAAACATGAATTATCCTCTTCTCCTCCCCCTGCACCCTCTGTGCGTCCCCTAAAACTGCTTAGGAGTGTTGGGGGGGGGGACTCAGAAGAGTTTTAGGGTATGTGCAGGTGTGCAAGCAGACCGCATTCCCCACTTAGTGCTATGTTGAATTCCACCCTAAACTTTTAAAAAAGGAATGCTCTCTGGATTCTACAGCCCCCATTTAACTCCTTCAGAAGTTGCATCTCATGACTTTAGTGAGCTGTACTGATTGACCATTGAAGAGCAGAGTATACATTTTTAATAGTAACATTAATAAATAAACTATCGATCCCCTCCAGGCTGCTGAACATGTGGGTTCCTGGAGCCCTTGATTCTTTCTTTACTGCAAGTATAGTGTGGCTCTTCTCTTTATTCCGGCAAGAAGAAGGTTCTACTTTAACAGTGTTAATGAAAAGGTAAAAGTATGTCTTGTGTCTTGTATTGCTCAGGGTTCACATGGCAATTCTGTGGCATAATGGATGGATCATAGAATCATAGAGTTGGAAGGGACCATGAAGGTCCAACCCCCTGCAATGCAAGAAACTTTTGCCCAACTTGGGGCTCAAACCCACGACCCTGAGATTAAGAGTTTTATGCTCTACCAACTGAGCTGTTGGATGACAACTAAAGTAACAACGGGGGGGGGGGGGGCTGAGAATGAAGTGGGAACAGGTGAGACCATGGAGAGGGAGGAGAACTACAGACCAGCAGAGAGACCCTCCACTGTTGGAGAGGGACCCTATGCTTGATCAGAGGACACCTGTCTGAGACCATCTGCTTGTTGGATTGCATTCCAAGCCAGTGGACTGAAATAACTCCATCCTAGTAATTTTTATCAGGGAATGGCTCATGTCTTTTACAATTTAACTATCTACCTCTGATGAAGGGGTGGTAGTATTTGACTACTAGAGCTGGGCATTGCAGGACCCTGTGACTCGGAGGAAGTTTGTGTTCTGTACTTCTTGCCTGACTTAACATCTGATGTGTCAGATTTGCTGAGATATATCATTGTCATAATTGCCACACAGGCACCTGTGGGTTCTTAACCTACAAATCTGAATGCATCAAAAATGTGGTTTTTCCCCCTACATTGCAGGTGGTTAACATAATTCACCATGCATTATAAATTTGCTAGTCTGTTTTTTCCCCCTTCAGGATATTTTTGTGTGTGTGATGTACAGAGTCTAAAAGCCACCCAAGAACCTCTCATGCATCCTTATCCATAGTTGGTGCACCCCCTCCCCCATTGTGTTTTGTGTGTGGATGACCTGGGCTCTGTGCTTGGACACCAGTTTGATTAGGCCTTTGCTGAGAAGCTCCTTGGCCAAGGAGCCTCAAATCTGCAGCCTTTCAGAGACCACGGCAGGTGTGATGAGTTTGTAGTTTGGCACCTCCTTGCACAGCTTGTCGTAAGTAGCTTTGTCAAACAAAACAAGGTTGTTCAACTTGTCTCTCACTTTCCCTTTGGACCACTTCTTCTTCTTGGCTTTTCCACCGGACTTGTTGATGGGGTCCTTGTCCTTCTTGGCTGACTTGCCGGTGTCCTTCTTCTTCTTATCGTCCTTTGGCGGCATGGTACAGTCGGAGAGGCTACCGTAGCTGCTTCTCCCTCGGTGATTTCTGGCCAGAAAGCTTTGCTGGTCTCTGTTGAGGCAGGACGAGAGAGAGGCATTGGTCTGGTGCCAGATGGAAGCCTTGGAGGAGACAGGGAGGGGAAGCAGCAAGCCACCAGCCTCTTTGCCAACCAATGAGACGATCCATGCAGTGGTTACAGTGTGAAGCTACTGAAGCTGATTTGGGGGTCGAGATGACAGCAAGTTGTCTTTTGAATTTCATACAGGTAGACAAATCATAAAGAATACCTTCTTGGCATTTGTAATAAAAGATCTCTGTGGGCAAAAGGTAAACAGGATAAAACGAATAGCAGTTCCAGGTGAACTGCACACACACACACACACACACACACACACACATTTCAGCACCCAAAAAGAAGGTAAAAACTTGGTTTTGAGAAACGCTGTACATCTGCTTGCCCCAAGGCCTAAGCTAAGCTGATGTTTAGCTAAGGAAGGCTAAGAGGAAGCAGACTCTGGTATCAGCATGTGTTTTAACTTGTTACATACTTCAGTGTCTGTCACAAAGCAATTTTGGACATAAGATACTGTGCTACACAAAGGAGCATTCTTCTGTGGGAAAGCAGTTCTTAAGCACTCCCTTGACTTTTCTGACAGCCAGCAACTTTTTTCATATAGTAGAACTGTATCTTTGAAAGCTGCCACAGACTAGCCTATAGGTAGGGAAGGGTAAATATATCATGTTTTGTTTTTCTCAGTTTCTCATCTTTTCAGTCTTCAGTTCTCCATATTTCCACATCAGTTTGCATTTTTAAAAAGTCCTCGTAAATGTTTATCAGATTTTTAGTGCAAATTTTCCCTAATATACATATTTTTGCAAGCAATTTCCTCCTAGTATAATGTGTATTTGTAGGTTAGTCTCACCAGTATATGCATTTATAGGCATGCTTTTTAGCCTAGTATATACTTTTTATGCATTACTTGGCTGGAGAACTGCATTGCAAAATTCAAAGAAGTGTGAGTTTCAAAGGTTGCCTGCCTTTTAGTTTGTATGTTGCTTCTGAAACTCTGAATTGAACTGAATTGAATCTCTCCCCCATCCCTGCCTGTAAGTCACCCAGGATAAAAATGGATGCCTGATCTGTGCTGAGAAAGTCAGAATTTGAAGCAAAGTATACTGAACATACCACCCTCCCACCCCAAACTGTGGGATATATTTTCAGAAATATATGAATTGTGCCCTTGGCTAATAAAAATAATGTATGTTAAAGTGAAATTCCATTCTCCCATGCCAAAGGGAAAGACCTTGGTCACCATGCACTGGTGCAGCACAACTGCATACTATGTCACACAACTAATTGTACCAGAACAAGACATTTACCCTGCGCACAGCTACAAATGCCACCCTCTTGACTGCTGATGTGTCACATCATATTAGAAGCTTTTTGCTTTGAGCTTGTGAGATTTCTTCAGTGTGCCTGGTTCTTGACTCACCTCTGGGATTTTGCGTGCTGAGACCCCGCAGCCACCTCCTCATTGGAAATAACTCACACAAGGACGCGGATATTAGGTTTATGTTATTGGGCAAATTTTGGCCACAACTTTATTGAAATTACAGAATGTGAGTGGTATTGGCTTAGGCATTGATTGGACCTCACTATATCTGACTCCTGCCCATTGTGCAGGAAGTCCAGTAAGGGTAAGCCACCGGTAGGGGGAGCCCTGTCAATGCGAACCAACTCAAGCTCCCCCTGGTGTTCCCGTCGGGGTCGTGTCAAGGCCTTAGCCCCCCAGCCAGCTTCAGACTAGATGAACACCCCTGGGTTCCTTTAACGGAATACCCTTAAGCATGGAGGGGCAGGTGATGGCCACACCTCCCCTCTCCCACACAAGGTCAAACAATGCCTAACCGCCACAAGAGCCCAAAGGCTTGCCATCAAATACCCTCACATCTGTAACCAATGCCTCAAGCCCTCTGCAATATCAGCACTCCTCCCCACTGGGAAGTGGAGCGGATCTGCCGTACAAAACAATTGTTCCAAAACTGCAGATGACCATGATTGCCAGTTATGAGCTGTACTGAAAATATTTATCATGGACAAATATTGAGGCTAAGAATTGACATCATCTACTATGAACAAGATTTGAAGCCAAGTCTCCCTCTTTTTCAGGGAGTATCCTTTGGACCACACCATCAGGGCAGAAGCCGTGACAGAGAAGAGATCTGCTGTTTTCTACTCCTATCCCCATGGCTGCTCATGATATTGAAACAAAGGGAAAGGACTGGCATCTCGAAGGGCCCTAAAATTGGGATCTCATGCCCCATTCTTGCAGTGCATGTAACTGAGAAGTAGCTATTAATAATAAATAACTGGTGAATACTTATTATGGTTATTTCTCACACACATGGAAGACAATGCAGTATAATAAAATTAAATTAACAGTTACAAAACCCTGCCGGCGGGTTTATAGTATTCATTCTCATGAGGAAAAGGACAGAAGAGAGTGAGAAGGAAAGATGATGAAGCAAGAGAGATACTAGGTTAAAATCCCAGAAAATTAGAGAAGGACAAGGAAGATAGACCTTCCCTGAAGCACTTCTCAAAAAGTAGACGGAACTGAATCATATGAACATCTGGAGGCTCTCCGGTGCAAAGATAGCCCTGCCAAAGAAAATGAAGGTAGGAGACAACAATTTCCTTTTACTGCTACAGGCACCCCAGTCTCCAAGCAATGAGAGATTTTTGGGTTGCCAGCACATACTTTGGGCTTGGTTTCCTCAGGAACAGAGGAATCTGCCTTGTTTTAAGTCAGACCATGGATCCATCTAGCTCAGTATTATCTACAGACCGGCAACGGCTCTCTGGGATTTCAGACTGGGGACATTCCCACCTGGAGATGCCAGAGACTGAACCAAGGACTTTCTGCAGACAAGAAGATGCTCTACCACTGAGAAGGTCACTGGAGATGGAGCTTTGTGATACATGGTTTTATTTGCACATGTAGACAGGCTGAACATTGGATTGAAGGACTTTCAGCATCAATACTCCAATAGAACTTGCTCCCCCATTAGTATTCTAGGGCAGTGGGCAAAGTCATACTTCGGTTTCAGCACAGAGAGCAAGTCAGGTCTCTGTGTCTTTGATACTCTAGTTCCAGACTAGCTGAGGTCCATTCTTCTTATGCTCACCGATGACACGGAGTGAGGCCTGTCCCCTGCAGCATCTCCATCTAGTTGTTTCTTTAGCAACTTGTTACCTGCACTCTTTAGTCATGCAAAAAGAGATACTTAACCACTTAAGCAGCCTCTTCCTCTGCAGAATCAGACTAGCCTCCCAATCCTATAACAATATTTTCATTAACAGTGGCTGGTCCAATTAAAAAAAACCACACCTTACATATTCGTTTAGAGTCAAGAAAAAGGAGAGCTCATTGCAGAACTCCAAAGTAACTCCCCCTTTTCTCTGTTTCAGTCACTTGCAGGCTGCAGCAAAGATGAAAAAGAACTTCTTTCTTCTGGCAGCCTATATTTCCCTTTATCCACATTCAAATCCTGGCATTTTTTGCTTCCAGATAGGGAGGGTTTTTCTACATTCATGCTCCATCTTGTTCTGTTCTATTGTCTGTATCTTCAGGCAAGAGCAAGAGTCCCAATAGGTTTTGTTGCTGGGTGTTAAATCTTCCAGAAGTTTTCAGCTGCTAGCAGTTTTGGCCAGGCAGAAGAATAGTGCAGGAGGGAGGTGGAATTCCTACATAATATGTGTATGTAGCAGATGAGATACAATTGTTTCCTTAAAAACCAGCAGTCTTCACTGCTGGCGGTCATACAAATGTGTTTGTGGGAGGGGGGATTGTCAGTGGCGGAGCTTCATGCTCCAGCACTGGGGGGTGGAGAGCAGGCGGGGCGGGGCTGGTGCGCATTCTGGTGGCGTGGCGCGCCACCTACGGGGGTGTGGTGCCCAGTATGGGTGGGTGGGGGGCCAACCGCAATGGCACCCCATTGGGATCGCACAGCCGGGAGTGGTGCACTCCCCCCGCACTCCTCTTCCTTCGCCAGTGGGGATTGTTGGCTTGTCTTTGTTCTTGTTTGATTATGTTTTTCGTCTTCTCATTTTGTGTTTTTATGTTATGAATTGCTTCGTGATATTCAGCTGAAGGATGGTATACAAAGTTAATAAACAAACACAAACAAACAAACAAACAAACAAACAAACAACAATTCTGTTCTAAGGTAGTAGATCCCCAGTGCATCTTTAAACTCATAAAACTGTTTAAATGTAATATGGGTTAGTTGCTTATCTCGGAGATTGAAAGCAAAAGCATGCAAGCAAAGAGCTAACGTTCAATGAAACAACCAAGAGTAAGACCTACTGACAACAGTGCAGGGTTGTTGTGTTTCAGCTGGGCAACAAAGGGTGCATGAAAGTCCCCTCTTGGGTGTCCTCCCTTCTTCATACTGGATACCTACTTTGAGGCAGTTTTGGACATAAGATACTATGGGCAGAACAGGATCCCATTATGAACATTGATCAGTTATATGAAAACAGGAAATGCAGACTGCATTTTTGTCCACTGCATCCAGCAGTGAAGTCACACAATGAAAATTGTATTGCAGGAACATCAATAACTTGATGAAATGAGCGTCATAAATGCTGGTATTGGAATAAAAAAACACATCCATCATGAAGGCCATTCCAGCTATCTTGTGCTGTGAACTAGGTAGGTTCTCTAGATCCAAGTGAGGAAGAATGTCCAAACCTGCCACCTCAGTAACACACATAGCAAACTCCTGCCTTTCCATTGTGGGCCAAAGGACTTGTCCACACTGGAGTTTATTGTGTGTTTGCTGGTGTTTGTGTTCCTATTTAAGTGCAATAAGATGTTACCCTCAATCAATACCACTCAAAGCTTTTCCCCTGTAAAGTTGGGTTTATGCAGTATGGGGATAATATGATAGGCTGGGGGAAAATGGGGCTCCAAATTGGGGTTTTAGGATGGGT